CATATATATATATATGTGTGTGTGTGTGTATAATAAAAAGAGGCATCATTACTATTATTATTATTATTATTATTATTATTATTATTATTAAGTACATTAGTGCACGGGTATATTATGTTAATGATAATCGATGCCTCTTTTTATAGCAGACATCCACCAATCTGGCACAAGGACTAGTCGTATGTATGGTCAAAGACTGGGACAGATAGAGGATAATCAGGTTAAATAATTGCCTATAATAGCTCTATGTTTTATATCTCATGAATATTCAATATCATATCGCCTATCAATGCTTTACTAAAACAACACCATGTCGTTGCGGCGAAATGTAATATACTTATAATCTTAAAACCAAGGTATGGCCCTCTCGAGTTTCAGCATTGTTATACACTGTAGGCCTACTATATTATGATATCTGCGATTATCATTAAAGGTTACAATACTTGACAAAAAGTTCAGATTCTCATTTGCATAATATACTTATATTTATGTATATAATATGATATAATGAAATATATGTGATATATATGTCCCTGGTTCTTAAATCTTAATTTTTTTTTTTTTTTTTTTGAAGGGCAAAATTATTTTTAGAATAATCTCCGAGTTGCAACCAACTTGTTATACTTTATGGACCTCAGGTGAAACTTTAAGATGCTGTGGCCGACGACCCTTATTAGCCGCGCAAACCTTTGAAGATTTTTGGCAATTTCAAATGTTATTCTATTTTTAATTGTACTACAGCACAATATTAAATTCATTACAATTATTGCACTATAAGGATGATTTAATATTTTGCCCAAAGAATTAAGACTTAATTTTTCATTATTTCTTGCTTATTGTTGATATTTTTATGCTTGCTTGTGTAAATTCATCAAAAACAAAATTGGTAGGGCCAATATTTGCCCAGCATCAGGGTGATGTCCCAGAGCAGATGATGTCTCTGAAGGGGGTCCATGGGGAAATCAAAGGGGAAAATCCCCCTGAAGCTCTCACAGTTTAGTGGACTGAAGTCACGTAATCGATCTTACAGCGTCATATTCGTTTTTTCTCTCGGTTTTTTTGTTTTTGTTTTTTTGGGGGTTTTTTTTGGCTTATTTTGGATGGTTTGTTTAATAAGCTTTATTTTTCTTGATCATGCTATACTACAACTACTCAACTCATGTTAAAACATATTTAAATTAGAATATTTAAAAACACACATGGTGCACATGCACCCAAGAATAAAATAAAACGGGTTCAGTCCAAAACGGCTGACTAATACATTTTGTTGATATTCATTTGGAATATGCACTTTATCTACCAATTTTATACACATTTGATTCTATTTTTCGTTATAAATTTTCCTAATATAAATCTAGAGGTAATATCTGTCACTAACATGGACACATATTCATCTTTTTTATTACTCATTTAATTTGAAAATAATTATAACCAATTTAGAGTTACGAATTTTGTAAAAAAAAAATATTATGAATGAATATGGAAAAAAAGTCTCGAAAAAACAATTTTATGATATCGGTATACATCATCTTGCTTTTTATGTATTTTATGTATTTTAATTTTTTACAAATCCTTCATACAACATTGTATTCATTTGGTGCGGTATTCGAATCGGCTGATGTCAACATTTTCTCTTTAAATCCAGTCAATTACTTTTCGATAAACTATAAACGTCTTTACATTTGCTTGCTTTTCACATATCACTTCCTTTTGCCCATTTACAAAGTACAGTAATCGTTTATTTTAGAATGATATTTTGATGTTTTTTTTTTTTTTGGTTTTTTTTTTTTAACAGATAATCTATACTTTTCCTTTGAGTACTGTCTACCGCCCTCTCCCCATTGCACTGTCTACAGCCTCATTTTCTGTAAAAGTTACAGTATGAGTTTTCCTCTAACGAATGTGTTCAGTTCTCCTATAGAGGTATCACATTAAAGTCGTGTCTATCAAATATTTCTAAAATCATCTCCCAGGCCGTGTCAAACTTCATTGAAGAACATGATCTACTAACAGAGGTACAGGGTGAGGACCATAATATTTTTATCCTAAAAAGCGTTATTGCAACTCGCTTGGCAAAAAGCAAAAACTTTCTTAAACTTAGAAAAAAGAAAGCGTTTGAAACGGTCTGGAGAGAAGGATTTCTA